AGCCGGGATTTGAACCCCGGTCTCCTGTGTCAAAGGTGGTGTTCTAACCACTACACTATCCAGCTGCTACTAAAAAAATATATATATAGACACATATCACCCGTAGGGGTGAGAGCGGAATTTTTATATATATATAGTTTGTAAATGAGCTTTAAGCAATTTAGTGATTTAGGATTTTATGGTGTTCAAATTTTAGCCAACATTTAGTAATGAACATTAATAATGTTCAGCTTTTAATTCTGAATTAAGTATTCAATAGTTTAATAAATTGACTTTTAAAATCAGATTTTAAAAAATCCAGTATAGAATGTAGAAAGATGGGGTAAACTTGGTACAAAGCCTCCTCATATTTAATAACATAAGAGTGTTATTTTTGGAAATGTGTTAAATGTTTTTTTGTTGTTGTTGAATGGAGGCTTAATTTTTCTGTGAATGGGGACAAAACAATGAAATTTACTTTAAGCAATAATAGCTTGTTAATATCTTGTAAATATACTAAAATGACACATAGCTTAGAATTAGATGTGGAAAATATTTTGACTTTTAAAAGGGCTATTCTGATCTCATGAGAAATATTTTGATGCTCTTCTGATTTTAGAGGATGTATTTCAAGTTCAAAAGAGGGCTATTCTAAAGTCAAAACCCTTTTGATATAGTCAGAACAGCATTAGGACACTCCTGATGAAGTCAAACTCAAAATAGGATGGTTTGAAACATTTTTAGGTATCTGTTTAGTAATCAAACTGAGAGTAGTTGAAAGAGGAAAGTTCATTTCTTGCCCAGGCATTTACTAATTCTAATTATTAATTGCTACAGGTTATTAATGTTCGAACTATTACAACGCAACCTGTAAAACTTAGGAGTATAGCACAAAAAATTCTGTTGCAGATTAATTGCAAACTAGGTGGAGAGCTGTGGGGTGTGGACATTCCTTTGGTAAGTCATACTGACATCATTTCTCTTCAGTGAAGCTTAATTCAGTAGGAATAATAATTCCCTAAAATAATGTTGCATATTTTAGGTATTAATACTTGTGTTCTGTAATTCTGTCACGCCTCTCATTCCCTTCCCTGGAGTGTCCCATTCTGTGAGACCTGAGGAAGACCAGAAGGTTTCCGAAGGATCGCAAGGATGGGAAAAGTCCAATTCTCATGATCCTTTGGAAACCTTCTGGTCTCACAGAATGGGATGCTCCAGGGAAGGGAGTTAGAGGCTTTGTGGCTTCCAGAAGGTATGGGATGTGTGGCTTTGGGAAGCAATGGGAAGAGGGGAATGGCACAAGGCAGCAAAGGCAAGCAGCATGAGGCAGCATTTCTCAGTGGCAGCGGTGGCACTGGGGCTGACGTTGAGAACTGGGGGCAGTGGCAGCTGGCTGAGACTGCTGAAGGCCTCGGGCCTCTACTTCAGTTCCAGTGTTGCCGCTGATGAGTGCCACTGTGCAGGGTGGCCAAAAGGGCATAGATGGGGGGAGATGGGTGGGGGGAGTTGCAGCTCCCCGCAGTTGTAAGTGTGAGCAGGCTGCCAAGCACCCAAATTTTGATCATGTGACTGCGGGGACACTGCAATGGCCGTACCTTCAGGCATGGGTTGTAAGTCCATTTTTTCAGTGCTGTCATAATTTTGAACGGTCGTTGAACAAGTGGTTGGATAGTGAGGGCTACCTGTACTATGTATGCTGCCCTAAGTCATATGTCAGTTGAGCAGCAATATAAATTGATCAAATAAATATCAACCACAGTGCCTTCCATGTAGAGCACACATTTATCCCACATTTCTTCTAAGAGCTTGAGGTAGCATACATAGTGCTCTGAACTTTTATACATTAGCTCTTGGAAAACTCTCCTTTTATTTTTCTGGATCAGATAGGCCATAGAAATGCTTTGGGAAGATTTAAAACAAATGAAAGACCCATCTGTAAAAAAAAAAAAAAAAGAAGCTTTAATATTAGTATTGGATTCCATCACTCTTAACTTTGGAAGGATGATCTCCAATCCTTTTTTTTTTCTTGGCATTTTGAAAAATATGAAGAATACAGGGAGATTAAAGCTTGGGGAGTATGAACACAAAGGGTTGGGAGAGGTGGGGAGAGAAATTCTATTGCATAACAGGGACAAGAGGCATCGATTTCAAATGTGTAGAAGTCAACCAGGCTGAGAAAAGCAGAGAAATAGTGCAGCTGGTTATGAAGGTCATGCAGGAGAACAAGGCCTGATTTTGGGGGAAATCAGAATTGATGTACAAGAAACCATGTACTCTGGTGTGGTCTGCATATTGCCTCTCAAGCATTAGGAAGTTCAGCTAATTCATGATCGCGTGCAGTCATCCTGGGTGTCTTGGAACATGCCTTTGAGAAGTGTGTCCTCAAAAGCAAAGCATCCCACCAGAGAATTGAGCTGATATGTTTAGTACACTGTGGGTGTCACCTTCAGCCCTGTCATCTACTACCATCAGTAATACTTGTAAGAACAGTAGTTTATGCATCAACACTGACTCCACCAATAACAACAGCTGCCACATTTCTGATGTGAGCATCAGCCAAAAGTCCATAATCTATTAGTCAGTCCTACAACATTTCTCTTTCCCAATGGTCAAAATCACCATCCCTTTTTTGTAGTAGAAATACAGTATGTTGCCTGGAGATTAAGCTAGGTTGTAGAAAGGATTCCTGTGATTTGGATTTCTGCACAAAGCAGGGGAATGCCTGGGTTGCACCTTCTGATGCAGTGAAATCCAATATATGAGAGTGTGATGAAAAATTGGAACTGGGAATCTGTTCTGGTTTGCAGAAGAGAAGGATTCTCTTGGAATGCTAACAGTAGAAAAGTTACTGTCTTTGGCCGTGTTTGTTACTTGAAGTGTTTATACTTAAGAAAACAGATAGCACTTTAGTCTTTGAGTACTGAGAGAAAGCTATGTATTTGCTTCTAATTATGTTTTGTTATAAAACATATCAAAAATTTCAGCTGTGAAATATCTTCTCAGGGTCCCCTCATGGAAGGTGATAACAAAGGGGAGGTGCAAAGGCAGAAGTGTCAAATACTTTGTATTCAATGAAACAGCAAGGTATCTAAGCTATAAGGTTATTCCTGGAGACATGAAAGTTAGCTGGGTGACTTTGGGCCAGTCACTCACTATCAGTCCTAGGAAAAAGGTACTGGCATCCCACAAGGGAACTGCATGGAACTGTTGATGTAGTCACCAACAGTCAAGACTGACTCAAAGAATCACAAAACAACAGCTGAGCCATGGGAAACTCCTATGCTGTGAAGAGATGTATTTGGCAGTGTGCAGAGGTCAGAGGCTCAAAAGAAGTAGTGAGGTAGGAGAGGGATTGTTATTTTTCAAGCCTCTATTAAGGAGAAGGTTAGAAAAGACATGCCAGCTTGCTTACCACTGTCCCTCCATGTTCTCAAGTTGGATGCACAAGAGGGAGCTATTTACAAAGTTAGGGAACTTTTAGTTGGCAGAAGTATGTACCAAATTTGAGAAGGGAAGTGATGAATCACCAAACAACATCTAGTGAAAATAATATGCCCAGAGCCCTACTTGTAAGGCCTCTACGTTTTGTGTCTTTTCAAGCATACCTTGGTGAAATATGCAGGAAACCTTTCAACATATCTATCTATCCGGATATACCTTCTCAGTGCAGCTGGGTATGTGGAGAGTAACACATAGTTCTTCCTTCCAGAAACAGCTGATGGTGATTGGCATGGATGTGTATCATGATCCCAGCAGAGGGAAGCGCTCTGTGGTGGGCTTTGTAGCGAGTATCAATCAGTAAGTGTCTGGTTTGGTTTTGTTTTTAACCTTTTGGCATTCAGGTCTCTGGATCTGTTCTAGGACTGTGGTTTATTTTATTTATTAAATCAATTTATATAGCCACCCATCTCACCACAGGCGACTCTGGGTGGTGTACAACAAAGCTAAAAACAGTAAAATACATTAAAAATATATAAAACAAAAAACAAAGAATAACAAGTTAAAAATAAGGGAGCCACCTCACTAATTCCCCCGTCCCCTGGAGTCCACAGGCCTGCTGGCATAACCAAGTCTTAAGGGACCTCTGGAAGCTCAACAATGACGAGGCCAGTCTCACCTTGGGGGGGGGGGAGATTCCACAGCGCAGGCACCACAGCAGAAAAGGCCCGCCGCCTGGGGCCTGGCAAATGTATGTCCCTAGGTGGCGGAACCCATAACATCCCCTCTCTGCTGGATCTGGTGGGATGGGCGGATGAAATCGGGGAGAGGTAGTCCCTCAGATAGCCTGGCCCCATGCCATGAAGGGCTTTAAAGGTCAACACCAGCACCTTGAGTTGGACCCGGAAACAAACTCGTAACCAGTGCAGCAGAGGTTCTTGCTGATGTTCATGTAGAATGGCTGATTTCCAGATTCTTGATATTTCTGGTGTTGTGGAAAAAAAATAGCTGCTTAAGATTTATTTATTAGTTGTTTATTTGAAAACAAATTCCTTCCTACCAAAACTTAAGAAACAGCTTGGCTTATTTCTGAGCTAAGCTTAATTCGCAGACTCATCTGCTCAGCTGCCTTCTCCTCATACTGATCCACCATATGCTTATTAAGCTTGCTTCAGAAACAGTATCCTCGATCTTCTCTTTCTCCTCTTGGATATCAAACCAGTTACAGTAAGTCTTATTCCATATTATTTCCCAGGAGCCATTGACCCTGCATAAGGTTAGGGGGATCTTTCTTCCTTTCTTCCTTTGTCATTCTGGGGAGGAGATTTAATAAGAGGGTGAGTGAGAAATGCAAAGGATCTATACTAAAATTCTAGTACTAAAAGTCAAAGAGCACAGTGAAAAAATGGGACTAAAATTAAATATAAAGAAGACCAAACTAATGACAACAGGTAGAACTACCAGCCTTAGAATTGACAGTGAAGATATTGAAGTGGTGGATAGCTTCTGCCTTTAAGGATCAATCATCAACAGTAAAGGAAGAAACAGTCAAGAAATATGCCGTAGACAGCACTTGGTAGAGTAGCCATGAAGGCCTTGGAAAAGATATTCAAATGCCATGATGTCTCTATACCTACAAAGATTGGAATCATGCAAGCCATGGTATTCCCTGTGACACTCTGTGAAAGTGAAAGTTGGACTTTAAAGAAGCAGGATAGGAAGAGTATTGATGCCTTTGAACTTTGGTGTTGAGGAAGACTCCTGAGAATACCATGGACAGCCAAGAAAACAAACTGATTGGCCATTAAACAAATCAACCCAGAGTTCTCATTCAAGGCACAAATGACCAAGCTCAAATTATCCTACTTAAACATTATGCGAAGACCCAGCTCTCTGGAGAAGGCTCCAATGCTGGGAAAGGTGGAAGGAAAGCGAAGAAGAGGACAACCAGCAGCAAGGTGGAGGGACTGAGTTACTGTGGTGACAAGTGCACCATTGGGAGACCTGAAAGATAGTTCATCATAGAGAAAATCTGCCTATGTGGTTGCTAGACTTGATGGTACATAATCAATCAATGAGCAGAAAGGGATTGAGGATTATATTGGATGATGGAAGGAAGAGGAGGATTTTTGTCTAATTTTAAAATGAGCTGCAGAAAAATTCAACCTTGCAATGCTCATTTTTGTTCTTGCTTGCTAGCAATTGATGGAACTCTAATCAGGGTTATCTTTTGCATTGCTTTCATTGGGGTTTACACCCATATAGAATTGCCAGGATTCAGTTTGCAGCTTGGTTTTTTACTTCTGTATCCCACTAGAGTTACTCAAATTATTATTTATGTGTTACAGTGTTAAAAGACTCCAGAGCTTTGATAGCTCTGAAAAGTTTACAGCTTCCAAAAATAAGAACTTGGCCTAATTGTGAATTATAAGGCTTTATATTTTGAATTAACGTTATTAATACTGATATACTCTTCTGCCACCAGAATTTTGACACAGTGGTATTCCAGGGTTGTATTCCAGATGCCTCATCAAGAAATAATAGATAGTCTGAAGGTCTGCTTAGTAGCTGCCTTGCAGAAGTTCCATGAGGTGAGAAATGAACAATTATTTTCCAGTTCTCTGCAATTTATAGAGAAAAGCATGGCCAGATTAACAGTTTTGCATCTTTTTTTGAAGAGGTGCATTCAATTCATTTTGCTGTCTTAAGATGCAAACATAGGCATGCTTCCTAGATTTCGTACCAGAAGATCCACCAGTTTCTGTTTAGTGATTCAGGTATGGGGACTGTTCTCCCTATCCATGGAGACTAAATCCTTTTAGAAGAAAGGCTGGGAGGGGAATTGGAATGAAAGGCACCAATTTCCTTTCTGGAGCTAGTCTTTTTCCTTCCTGTACAGTAGACCATCACAAGCTTTGCTGATATCTGAGCAGCTCTTTTTAAGTAGTTTAGATTTTTGTCTTCTGCTACAGATCAGCCAGAAGAAAAGAGAAAACAAGTTTCTCCTTGAGCATGAAATCATTGAAATTCCTTAGACCAAATATGGGTATGAGCTGTTATTTCCCTCTTTCTTACTGTTGAATGTTTGTTCTCTCAAAGGTTAACCACTGCCTCCCGGAGAAGATAGTGGTTTATAGAGATGGGGTGTCCGATGGCCAGCTGAAAATGGTAGAAAGCTATGAAATCCCACAGCTGCAGAAATGCTTTGAAGCTTTTAATGATTATGACCCTAAAATAGTGGTGTTTGTGGTTCAGAAAAAGATCAGCACTAACATCTATTCATCAGCTGCCGATCACTTTACAACACCTCCTCCAGGGACGGTGATAGACCATACAATCACCAGCCGAGATTGGTGAGTGAAAAGCTGTCACAGAGCGCTTTCTGTACACATCTCCACAGTTTCTTCTGGAAACCGCTGCTGGGAAGTTGGGAATTTTAAATCTTTGTATTTTCTCCTTTCCTCCATGTTAAAAAAGATCATTTTCTACAGACACAGCTTTGCAGTTAAATGCATCTCTAGGCTTTTTTCCCTTCAGCTTAATCAGCTTTATTTCCTGTCAAAATAAACCGTGGCCATAGTCCTTGGGTGAGCTTCGTTTTATCCGTAGTCTTGTCTATAGTGTAGTTAAAGACATCTCCATGTGGGATGCCTCTGGAACTGAGACAGCCTTCTGTCAGCGTGGGTAACAGGCTTTTAGTGGTGGTTCACATCCCCAGAGTTGACTAGGGTTTAATAGAGTTGATGGCTGGTACTCAGTAGAGTGATGAGTATTCTTCCTTCTCTCCCCATGTACAACATGGAAAGCTATGGCCCAGCATTCATAATTCTCCCACACTTTATTGGAATTCCCATCCGGATTGTTCAGAGACATTCCCATACCATGGCTTGCACTTTCGAATAACAGTCACAGGTATCCAGCTTTGTTCCAGGCCTCCATTTTGAAGGTTATAAAGAATCAGGCTGGATTCTGTCTCTGTGGGAATGATGTTGATAAAGGTTTGGCTCTGCTGTTCTTCCTCCTGGTTCTTTCTTATTAGGGTGGATTTTTACTTGATAGCACACTACACGCAACAAGGCTGTGGCATCCCAACTCACTACATCTGTGTAAGGAATACAGCCAATCTCAGTCCTGATCACATGCAGAGGTGAGTGTATTTCATCTCTTGGTTTCAGGTTATGTTTTTTCACTGTATAGAAAGTGGAATAAATAGATTATTTATAGATAAAACAGGAAGTACTGAATGCAGCAAAAGGATGTTGGGGGGAAGAAACTGTATGCAATTATGAATTTTAGGATTTTGTTTCATGGGTTTCTTGTATTTTCCTGGAAACCATTTTGTGTACAGCTCTGCTTCATACTCAGTACAATGACCTGAGTGGAAAGGGAGAGAAACGGAGGACTTCCTTGCTTCTTGCTTTAAAACGCAATTGCCTGTGAGGTGGTCCTCCAGCTGTGCTGTGCCATTCTTTGCAAGACCTGGAATGACCCCAAACTGTCTGCTAGTTGCATAGTTCACAGGGGCTTCCTTGCAGCTCTTTGGCCAATATTTTTCTGTCAAGAGCTTGAAGCAGGATGAAGGTGTTTATATAATATTGTCTTTGGAGCGGGGGATTTGCAAGAGGGTAAAATAAATTGGAAAGTAAAGCGAAAAGGGAGAATCAGTTTTTCCCTTGCAGCATTTAATGATGTACTGTAATCAGAGTAGACTAGAGATTAGGGATTTGTCAAGCCATAATAGAGATATCTTGTGGGTCCAGGTTATGGAAGCAGGCATTCTAATCAGGAATTTCCTTCTCCCACTCCTGTTTTCTAATAGGCTGACTTTCAAACTTTGCCACATGTACTGGAATTGGCCAGGAACTATCAGAGTGCCTGCCCCTTGCAAATACGCACATAAGCTGGCTTTTCTCTCTGGGCACGTTCTCCACCATGAACCAGCAATTGAGCTGTGTGAGAAACTCTTCTTCTTATAGCTTCTGCAATCAACTGCCTTCAAAAAAAGAGTGAATGCCCTGATCCGAGGCAGAATTGAGAAGCAATTGCCCTGGGTTTACCGTTAATGGGCAGCCCCTCCCATTTTCAGCCCACCCCCTCAACTGGAGGCTCTGCCAAGGCTCTTATAGCCCTTACCCCAATCCTGTGTGATTTTTATGATTGTTCACCACCCAGAGTCACTTGTTTGAGATGGGCGGCCATAGAAATTGAATGAACCTGTGTGATTTTTATGATTGTTCACCACCCAGAGTCACTTGTTTGAGATGGGCGGCCATAGAAATTGAATGAACCTGTGTGATTTTTATGATTGTTCACCACCCAGAGTCACTTGTTTGAGATGGGCGGCCATAGAAATTGAATGAATGAATAAATAAATATATTTACTTAGATGTAGATACCAAAGTGTTTCTCTTACTTCCATGGTTTTAACTAAAGAAGTAATAGCACTCTTTTGCCTCAGGAGCTAATGAAATAATTCCTGGATCTTGTGAAAACTGATTTTTCCAGACATTGCTGCACTGAAAATTGTACATGTTCAGTTGATGCATATTTTCTTTCTTCTGCCTCTCAAAAAGTCAGAATCAAACCAGAGAAAAGCATTCTGTTTTAACTGATGATTAAAAAGTACTACTTTGCACAAAAGTATTTCCCAGGGTCTAGACAAATTTTACTTAGTAGTATTTAAATGGTGTAACTTATGGCTTTCAGGATGTTAGTGAATAACGAGTCACCTAGAATGGCTGACGTTGAGGGATGCTGGGAATTGTAGTTTAGCTACTATTGAAGGGCCATAGATTCTTCACTCCAATTTAAGAATTTTTATGGTCATTGAGTATTACTTCTGTACTATCATGTTCTTAAAAGGAAACTTTGACTTCTTTTGTTAAAGGTAGCTGTTAGGTTGGGATAAAAACAAAAGACTGCATTTGTCTTGGCTTGAACTATCTTTATAGTGAATGGTTACATCCTACATCATAGTAATCATGACATTTGTATATTTTTATGAGTTCTTCATTGGTCATGTAAAATGTTTAGTGTTTGTTATGGTTAAATACCTGAAATGAAACAATTGTACTAGGTTTACTTTGTACCATCGAAGACTTTGAATATTCACATTCTCTCAGTGGGATGAGAGTGGTTGCAGAACTGAGCACAAATTTGCACTGGCTGAGTATAGTTACCAGCAACTAGTACATGCTCAATTAGATCTAATACAGTTGGTTGTTACAGTACAAGGTAGTGTAGTGCCAAAAATACTAAGGAATTCACTGGTTATAGTAACAGACCTACAGCATAATTTGATGTGTACATGTCTGTCTGCAATCTCAGACTCTCCCTGTGTCCTTCTTGCCAATAGTGCAAACTACCATCCTTCTCTTTCCCAGCAAACAGATGGCAAAACTGTTTGCAGTGAAAGAAGGTGCATACTTTTCTTAAAGAAATTGGTTTTTAATACAGCCTGCTATTTCTGGAGGTATGTTATCAGGTGTAGCAAATCTGCTTCTCATTTGTAAATCATACAGCTGTGGGCTCAGCATTGTCCTCTGTGGTTTATACCATTCAGAGGAATGGATGGTATCAGCTAATCTTAATAATCCACTGGCTGAGCAGTGGAGTTCCCTCCACCTTTATGAAGGATTCTGCTGGGGAGCTGAGCCCTGTGCTGGGTTCAACTTGACAAGCATTAATTCTCTTGTACTTCAGTTATTATAATGGCACATCCTTAGTCACAAATTCTAGGAATAGCAGAGTTTGGCTACAGGACGACTACCCATTGTCCCTACAAGAAGAGTTGCCAGTGCCCAGTCAAGATAGCCTCTTAATTCCCTTACTACATACATTGCACTGCAATTTTATATTTGAAGAACAGGCTGGTATAGTGAGACTGTTCTGGAACTGCGCACGCAGTCAAGGAGGACGTGCATATCTTCAGTTGCCTTACTTGTCAACCCTGGTTTTCAAGCTATACCCCCACCCCTTTTCTGTTTTTCTGCCCCCTTCCCTGCCTACCTCTGAGGCAGGAGTGGTGCATCATTGCATCAGCTGCTTCTGATGCACAGGATGTGGGTATTTGCTTTCCCTGTTAGTTGTATCATGAGGAGTAGTGATGTGAAGACCCCTCTTTAGAAGTGTAAATTGTGTTGAAACTCTTTGCAAGTCTTATCACCTGCAGAAGAATCCCAACCACCTAAAATATGTAGCTTGAGGGACAGAGGGTTGACAGTCTCTGCATGTTGACTCCTTTTTGCTCCCTTCCCAGTATGTTCCTAGAACATGTTTAATCTGGTCAGAACTAGAAAGGTGTCTAGCTAAAGCCTAGAAAACATAGGGATGCTGCTCTTATCTCACTAGAAGATACATTTCCATCTGTGTGTTGGAGGTGATATAATAATTTCTAAAAACCTGCATAAGAAGGCAGGTAGTGCTTCTGTATGGTTCTCTCACTGGTAATTTTTTGACTCTAAAAGATTTATAGCTAAATTTTGTTTAAAGCTTGTAGAGCATGTGTGAAGACCTTTGAGCAGCAACTTTGTTTTGCTATTGCATAGATTGCTTTTCTTGCAAAAAGGCTGCTATATAAATGAAAACTATATATTACAGTCAATTCTACTTCTGTTTGTTGGGCCAGTCCTTGAGATTCTGTTCTAAATGTGGTCACCTTTTGCACTGAAAACAGAGAAATGTCCTTCTATGCTTACCAACGCAGAAAACCAACACTGAATTTATAACCTTTTTTGAACTAGAACATGCTTGTCTAGTTTCCCTGATATTGGTATCTAGAACGTACTTCTTCATCCTGTTAATAATTCACCTTCTCTGCCAGCATTAATCTTCTGATATGCTTATCCTGTTTTATTACCCAGTTTGGCCATGATTTGTCTGAACTTTGTCCAAGTTTACCAAAACACAGTAAATATCAGGCACTTGTCTTGTATGGCAAAGCTTTCAGAATGGTGAATGAAGCATTTAGTTATGAAAGTGGAGAAAGAAAGGAGAACATTCTCTTCTTTTTCTTTTTTGAAGAAAGAGCTGTGTGTTGCCTGAAAGCCTGTTAGAAACACAGAGCTTTTCTTTGCAGGATTTGAGATGAAGAGTGTATCTGTTGCCTTATATGCCTGTATGTATCTCCTGATACAGATAGTCCTTGACTTACGACCACAATAGGGACTGCACCTGATTTTATGATTTTGTGGTGGTCTTTAAGCAAATCACTGTGGTCGTTAAGTGAACTACGTAGTTCCCTGTTGATTTTGCTTGTCAGAAGCTGGCTGGGGAGGTTGCAAATGGTGATCATGTGATCCTGGGATACTGGAACTGTCATAAATACATGCCGGTTACCAAGCGCCCAAATTTTGATCAGGTGACCACGGGGATACTGTGATGGTCATAAGTCATTTTTTTCAGCGTTGTCATAACTGAACGGTCACTAAATGGTCATAAGTCAAGGACTACCTGTATTGTATTTGTATATTTGTAAATAAATTAAATATTTGAAGGCTGCCCTCAGTTTCCAGGGTTCTCTCATCCCAACCCCCCCTCCCCCAAATCTGTTGATTCCTCCTAGAACTTCTTGCAGCTTTGGGAATACATATATCTGCTATACTTAAATCAGTTACTTGTGATAGGAAGTTTTCAAATGGATAGTAGTAGATTAAGCCTAGTCTTAATATTTTTCAGTGATTACTTTGAAATCTTTCTTGGCGTGATAATAAAAAGGATTCTGGGATTTAGGAATCCATTAAATGCAGTTTGTTTGCCCTCTGCTTGGATTTTAGAACCTCTTTTTTTCACATAAAACTTTCTAGGCATGGTTCAGGGACAGAGGCAGAGACAGTAATCTGTTGGGCCAGCCTGAAATAGGTTCTGAAAGTTTGGGGAATGAACCCAGCAACTCCTAGAAGGGACCTATGTCTCCTGTTCCAAAATACATTGGCTCGTCTAGCTAGGTCACCATGCTTTTGAGGTCATAACTGAGCGATAAAGCCCGTTTATCACGGACAAAAGTCTGTGCCCAATCCGCAACTAAAGTATCCTTGGGAATTGGACTGGAAAGAGGAAGATATCCACCTTAGTGAAATGTTAGAAATTGCCAGACAAGATGTTAATTAAGTTGGCCAGTACTTTGAGGCAGCTTCAGATAACTTCCTCTCAATAAGAAAGCTTGAATATTATTTTTATATGGAATACCTTTTTAAACAACCCCAGCTGTGCTGAGCTACATTTCAGTCAAATAACAATCTGGCCTTCTCATAGATTCTTGATACTTATTACACATATAACAATTGCTTTTTTTCAGGGAATGTAGGGTAGAGCCTTCCTTCTATTTTCAGTGGACTGAATCCAGACTTCAGTGGGATTCAGACCGCCTGAACTCAGTGGGACAGACTTGGGAATTCTGGGAACATTAAACATGTGGTGAGCACCAGGGCTTGAAAAGGCTGACCAACACCCATTGATTTGTTCTCTGCCAATGTGCTGTACCTTTTAATGATACCACTGCAGAAAATAGTAAACATACTTAAATATGTATGCAAAATGTATATAATGGGAGGGAGCATTGTATTTTTATATATATAATATATAAAGAATTTTAATTACAATAGTAAAATCTAATACAAACTAAAGGAAAGAAAGAATACAAAGAGTAAAAGGTGCAGAGGAGAAGAAAAAAACAAAACAAATGAAAGAAATAAAAGAAAAGAACATAGTAAAAGAGAGACAAAAGAAATATATAGAGAAGTGACTTCCAACCTTCATCACAAGTATAAACAATTTTTGTAATTCCTGACCCCCTCTTAGTTTACAACCAATAATCTCTTCATCCCAAATCCCATTTCTTATCTATAGACAAATCCATAAAGTGTCATCTTTTCAGTCCTAGTGTCAGCAGAAAGTCCATCTAAGGGTTACTAGAAATAACAATATATCTTATTTTAACTTTGATCAAATAAACCAACTTTATATTCCTTCCTTTTACTTCTAAATGGCGGGTTTTTGGCACTGGGAGATGATGGGAATAGCCATCTTGCTCACAGCTGCGGTTGGTGCCTTTTGAAGGACACTAAGTTTGCAAACTTCCTTTTCTAATCACATTTGGAAATTGCTTATTAACTACTTTTAAGTTATTAGAAACCTTCAGATCAACAAGTCTGAAAATGCCAGGTGAGTTTTCCTTTGATCCTTAATGAAAGA